ATACATACATACATACATACATACATACATACATACATACATACATAGCTTGTGTTTTCATTGTGGAACCTGAATAGTCATCGTAACGATTATTATGCTGAAGCCTAATCAAAACAGATGTGGTCAAGCACTTAAGAATAGTTTATCTGGTGTTGTCATGCACTGTGGAGGTGGTACGTTACCCGTTTGCAAGACCAGGCTCCCTCTTGTCCTCCATGGCAGACTAAATCTGGAGCTTTAACGCTCTGCCAAACAGAATGTTTGTTTAAAACAGAAGTCCGTAGAAAGATCTCTCACAGAGCTCCAAGTCTGCGTCACAGCACTGAAAAAAATCTCTCGCGCTGAATAAAGTTTTACATTACGCCCTCAGTTTTTCCTCGCAGGAAACAGGGAACTTTCCAAAACTGATGTTCGCAGTCGAATGTCAAATCATAGAATTAAATCCCACAGAAAAGACAAACGTTAGGGGTCCATATTGGGTTTCATAACAAAATGTCTAATGTATTTTGTAAATTGACCAAAGTTTTCTGTGGGATAAAAAAAAATAGACCGCCTGCAAGACAAAACTTTGGGTAATAAAAGCAAGAAGTGTTTACATACTATTACCTACCAACATGTATATCACTATTATTTTTTGAGTTTACACTCCCACCACTAAAAAGGGGCGCTGATATAAAACTAAACTGAACCAAACCCCACATTGTGTGGAGGAGGGTTTGTTTTGGTTCTGTTTTTTGTTTTTGTTTTTTCTATCCAATGATCTGTTTTTGGTCATTTTTTCTCGAATCACTCCACCTCATCTCCTGTGGTTTTACAAGGTCTCTAAACCACTCCAGACCAAGGTCTAACGGCGAAACGCGTGGGGGACGTCCAGATGACCACAGTGCCACGGCTGCTCCCGGGGTCTTTGTACACCCAAGTGGACTGGTCAGTCCTGAGTAACCCTCTGGCAGGCCGAGGGTCCTTCACTTCTTCAAAATCGTGACTCGGCTTCATAACGCATAGACCTTGTGCTTTTGTCAGTCAAAGGTAGTAGTATTGCTTGCAATAGAAACATGTTGTCATGATGTGGGGTTGGGGGGGGGGCAGGATTGCTGTAAGCGGCAACTGACGGTTGCCTTACTCTTCTTTTGTTTTTCCTCATTTAAAGGGACAGTGCACCACCATCAGTGACAGTAATGGATCAACATTTGATGTGGATGTTTTTCTCATTGATTGTGAGTCCCTGTGCTCTTTTAGAAGAGATACGTGTGTGTGTACATGTGTTAACAAAGGGTCGGAAACACAACTTTAATCATTTTAAAAAGGGAAGTGCAGGAATTTTCCTCATGGTTAACGTCATACCCGAGTAATCTTTTTTTCTTTTTTTTCAAAGACACTTCAGACGAGCTGGAAATTGTTTTATTGGTTTGACTTTGTTTTTGAAGGTTGACAAATTCCATTTATCCGTACATCAATATTAGTCTCAGAGAAAGTAATTTATGTACAGTGTTTCTACGATAAAGAATAAAAATCCTTGGAACTAAGTGTGT